GGTGGACGATACAAAGTTACAAAAAGAAGAGGTTTTCTGGCCTTGAAATTTGGATCAGGGAAATTAAGGGTTAAATGTTCAAAAGAGTTGTAGGTATTAACTGTTTTGGGAGTAATCAGTAAGTCAGACTGGAAGATTGTTGCTACTCCTCCTCCTCACCCAGAACTTTTGGGTATGTGAAAATTTAAAAAGCTTGAAGGAGTTGCCTCATTTATGCTCACATAATCCTCTTGCTGCAGCCAGGTTTCTGTAAGGCAACACAAGTCAATGTGATTATCACGAATCAAGTCATTAACTAGCAGACTTTTAGAGGAAAGAGATCTTACGTTAAACAGACCGCATTTAATTGTTTTAACTTTTTCCCCAATTGGAGTTATTTTGATTTTAATTAGATTATCATGATTTACTCCTTTGGGAATATTTGCTAATTTATTAGATTTTGGTCGTGGGCAAGACACTTTCTGGATGGAGTAAAGAGTGGGTAACAGTAGAGAAGCTGCAGAGAGGTGTGTTAAAGTACAACTCTGCTTCCTGGTCTGCACCCTGGGGGGTCAGGGTTTTGGAGGACTAATAAATGTGGCCAGATTCTTAGAAAGAAGAGCTGCACCATCCAAAGTGGGATGGATGCCGTCTCTCCGAATCAGACCAGGCTTTCCCCAAAAGGATTGCCAATTATTAATGTAGCCCACGTTGTTTTCAGGGCACCACCTAGACAACCAGCGGTTGAATGACGACATGCGGCTAAACATGTCATCACTGGTCAGATCAGGGAGGGGACCAGAGAAAATGACTAGAACTAAGAAAGTAGACAGTACCTACTAAAGCTGCAGAGCTGATCTACATAATGTATCTTTGCTTTAATCTCTGCAGCATTGCTGCATATATACTGTAACACTAACAATGACCCAATAGACAGGCAGCCATCACCACAGCAGGCCATATGCTTATCATATGAGGCCTGAACTCCAGACCCCTCCTAGACTCACAGCTTGGATAGCAACCCCCCACTCTCCTTTACTTCTCTATACTGTTTACAGCTTTCATTGTGAAAGACAAGCAGCCTTCAGAAAAAGCAGCTTTATTTTAAAAATCAATCAGAGAGACAAACCAGCCCGAAATGGCATGGAGATAATGTGATGGCGTGGCGAGGTGACCTTTAAACACAACCGCCGCTACATTCCTAGCACTGAAGAATCCTGACCTTTGTAGCACCATTACAGCAGATTCCAATCAGAGAGTGAGGAGGGGTGGGGGGCACACATAGCCAGGCTGAAATCCTTTATTAAATATGTGGCAGTAAGAGCAGACAGACACGGGGGCTAACACAGGGATCCCTGAAGAGCTTTAACAGGAGATCTGAAGGCTGAGGCATGGAAACAGTACGCTATAACCTTCCTGTTAGCTGTAAAGGCCAATGATGGTAAAAGCAGCCTAGGTTTGATTTCAACTTTGGTATGGACACTATCGGTCTTAAGTTTCATTGGTCAAATGTCAGATCTCATTGGTCCAATGTCGTTAGTCCAATGCCGTTGGTCCGATGTCATTGCTCCGATGTCATTGGTACGATGTTGTTGGTCCGATGTCATTGGTCCTATGTCATTGGTATGATGTCTTTGGTCCAATGTCGTTAGTCCAATGCCGTTGGTCCGATGTCATTGCTCCGATGTCATTGGTCCGATGTCATTGCTCCGATGTCATTGGTCCGATATCATTGGTCTGATGTCATTGGGCCGATGCCGTTGGTTCGATATCTTTGGTCCTATATCATTGGTATGATGTCTTTGGTCCGATGCCGTTAGTCCAATGCTGTTGGTCCGATGTTGTTGGTCCGATGTCATTGGTTCGATATCTTTGGTCTGATATCATTGGTATGATGTCTTTGGTCCGATGCCGTTAGTCCAATGCTGTTGGTCCGATGTTGTTGGTCCGATGTCATTGGTTCGATATCTTTGGTCAGATGTCATTGGTATGATGTCTTTGGTCCGATGCCGTTAGTCCAATGCTGTTGGTCCGATGTTGTTGGTCCGATGTCATTGGTTCGATATCTTTGGTCAGATGTCATTGGTATGATGTCTTTGGTCCGATGCCGTTAGTCCAATGCTGTTGGTCCGATGTTGTTGGTCCGATGTCATTGGTTCGATATCTTTGGTCAGATGTCATTGGTATGATGTCTTTGGTCCGATGCCGTTAGTCCAATGCTGTTGGTCCGATGTTGTTGGTCCGATGTCATTGGTTCGATATCTTTGGTCTGATGTCATTGGGCTAATGCCGTTGGTCAGATGTCATTGGTATGATGTCTTTGGTCCGATGCCGTTAGTCCAATGCTGTTGGTCCGATGTTGTTGGTCCGATGCCATTAGTCCGATATCATTGGTCTGATGTCATTGCTCCGATGTCATTGGTACAATGTCATTGGTCCGATGTCATTGGTTCGATATCTTTGGTCTGATGTCATTGGGCCGATTTACCAACTGCCCAATAATAGGCAGTTGCTGAGGGCCCAAAATTCCTTAGCTTAAAAGCCATCAGAATGCTTATAGTAAGTGTGGCCACCAAACCCCTTCAGTGTCCTCCATATTGAATCAGTCCATTTGCTGCACATGTTCAGAAAGGTCCAAACAGATAGCAGCAAACCATTTGAAAACAAACCATGCAAAGAGCAGTGTTGCTAACTTAGCGCTTTAGTCGCTATATTTAGCCACTTTTCAGACCCCTCTAGCACTTTGATTTCTAAAAAGCTCCTAGCGCCAAATCTAGAGACTTTTTTCTGCTACTGGAGACTTTGGAGACAACATCTAAAAGCAGCAAACTCTGCTCTCCAGAGCTAGTAGATTGGTAACCCCGCCTCCTGCTCTCCTCTATCTTGTCTGCTGTCATGATTCATGCAGCTATTCAGGGCTCGATGTTTACCATCGCCCGATCTCCCGGGGCAAGTAGTTTTTATTGTCGGGAGAGTACAAATTTCATTGCATTTACCCGCTGGGCAAGTGCAATGATCGCAAAAAGAAATTATTTATCACTCAAAATTACTTTTAAATCACCTACAATCGCTTAAAAAAGGACCCACAAGCGTTGCCAGCGCCATTTTTGTTGTTTTGTAGACATTTTCGCGCGATTTGAAAAAGCTGCGTGTGATTTTCCGCCAGATGTGATTTGTGTCCGGGATTTGGCGGGAATCAGACACATTTTTTTCAACTTGGCAGGCTAAAAAAACAACAAGGCAAAAAAAATTAAGTAGAGCAACACACCCACCACCTATTTTAACCTCCACCTATTTCATCCACCTCCCAGATAACCCTAGATTAAAAATGATCGGTCAGGGATTAGGAAAATTGGTTTAATTATATGCCATGTGTACAGTGTAAATATGGCTATCATATGGCATCTTCTGTACAGTGATGCAGGTCATACATTAAAAAATGTTCATTAAATGTTTTTCTCTTAGACATTGGAGAGCTGCATTTAAATGTTATACAGCTAAACATGTTAGATTGGTGACCTGTTATGTTATTATTATTGTCTTGTTGCTGCATTTATTTTGTCAGGGAAAACTAATCCTGACTCAGTTAAAAGTCAGGGAATTCTGAAATGATGTCAGACTGTGGAAACCCTGAATAAAATAACTATGTATAATGATTCTCTAGAAAAGTCACATTATATTAATAGTATTATCTTGTATAAACATACCGTGACTCTAAAATAAAAGTTATTCATTTGTGACATTACATTACAATTTCTATTTTTCCAAGCACACAACAGTTTAAAGCAAAGTTTAGTTTGAAAAGAATGTGCAGGAAGGATTGAAAAGCATGTTAACACGGTAATGTAGGCTGGAGTTCATTATCTGACGCATGCAGATACACACCAGGAACCTGGAAACTTACTGAATTACAAAAAACATTTAAAAAACAAACGTTTCATTGGTATATATACAAAACATTAGGAACTATATTTATCAAACATTATAATGGGTAAGTAAAAATTGTTTCTGGGCAAATGAAATGTGAAAGTCACTTGTCAGAAGGGCAAGTGGTAAAAATCCTTAACGTCGATCCCTGCTATTATTTCATCCAAATGAAAAATGGAGAACAGATAAGCAGATCATGGCTTGTCTACAGTGAAAAGAAGGACTGGGTTATTTACTTTGGCCTTTTTGGAAACACAGGAAGGAGCAATCAGCTAAGTGAGCTTAGTGCTTGGAAAAAATCTTTCATTCCTTTAGAGACAGCATGAAAAGTCAGCTGAGTACAAAACATAGAGAGGGAAACAAGAAGAAAAGGGACAAGAAGAGAGGGACACAACCTAGAACAGATAATGGATGTCTATTCTATTAACATTTCTCTATCTGGAGAATGGCTCTGTTTATGTGTTGTCTTCTCAGTTCAGGGGGCCCCCTGCCTGTCTTTGCCTTGGGCCCCACATGCTGTAAATCCGGCCCTGGGTTCACTCTACTACCAACAGGCTTTGATCAATCCAGTGAATAAACACAGATCAGTGCTGTGGACTCATGTGACTCTTCCGCATCTGTACTATGGAAAAGCATACGACATTCATACCGGAAGTACGTCAGTTATTTACACAAATAAAAGCCCCAAAGGGGCTCGTGCTGCCTGACATCCTGCAATCTCTCTATTCAAAGGTTTTTTTTTTCATCTCAGCTTTATTTCTTTTGTGTATTTAACCTTCATCAGGACAAAGGTTGACGTTTTACTTAATCTGTAGTGCTGATAATTTGTAGTAAACTGTCTTAGAGCAACATAAGCGTCAGCTTAAAGAAAGGCCTTTATACTTTATTAATCAAAGGTTGATAACCGTTGATTTGGAGGACAGTTTTTAGGATGTTATCTGTGTTCCTGGTTATTTTGCTCTGGTTTTGTATTTCTGTGACTGAGCAGAGTCTCTGGTCTCCTTTAAGGCCGCATTAGCAGCCAGTTATTAACCAAGGTGATCAGGCAGCCGGGCTTTTATTTTGAAAAGCGGAAGTGGTTCGGGCAGACATGGCGGTGTCCGCTGAGCTTCCGCTCGCAGAAGTTGGAGGAAAGTTTGCCTCCGGTCTTCAGACTGAAGGGTTCGGGCGGTGGAATGAGCGGAACCGCGGTACCGGCGGACATTTGTGGACACATGTTGGACCTGGACGAGGACGAAGACCTGGAGGTCTTCACTAAGGTGAGCCCGGCTGCTCCAGAACCAGCCGAACCCGGTCCGGTCCGGTTCTGCTCAGTCTGAGGCTCGGTTGGCCCACATACTGCCCATCGTGGTTCTGGATCCACTGGGAGAGACCTCAGAGATCGGGACATTTCTGGACCGGTTCGGTCCCGCCGGGTGGGAACCCTCCTCTGTAGGTGGTGGTCACGGCATTGGCAGGGAACCTGGTGACCTCTGACCCCCACCGCTGTCTACCTGGTGACGTCATCACGCAGACTTCACGCTAGGGGCGCGTCACTTCCACTGATCTCTATTCATTATGAATTATAACCAGAAACAATCAAATTACAGAGATGTGGTTTTATCTTACATCACAGTGACGTCATTCAAAACAGATGAGAGCTCATAATTATTAGATATTGATGTTGTAATTATGAGATAAACTGTCTGCTTTTGTTTTTCTTTGGTGAATGCAGAATGCTTCCGTTCATTTCAGACATCTGGATCAAATATTCAGTTGATCTAATAAATGTCAAAATGGCCTGCCATAAAGTGCAAATGTAAACACAGAGAACGCTGTCCTGTGATGTCATAACGTCTTCACAGGAGATCACACACAGTTCGCTTATATTTGGAAATTTGAACAGCAAAGCAAAAAAATCAGATTTAAGAAAAAAATGGAATAGAGCTCTATATATATATAAATTTATATGGATGGATAGATAGATAGATATAGATATCCAGATAGATATAGACTAAACTCCAGGATAGAAATGTCAGCGGCTCTGTGACAGACTGAAGAGGCTTTGATCACGTTGTAAACAGCTGTTTTTTACTTCCTGGTGTCGTCAGCTTGTTCTTTGTGCTGACGAGGTGACAGCGGCTCATTTTCCAGGCGGAATGTCCGTACATCAAGCATGAGCGTTGATGATGTCATCAGTGCAACAGAGATCAGGAAAGTAGACGATGGAAGGGAGCCAGGCTGTAGTCATTGGACTGGATGTCTGGCTCCTCTCATCCTTATTGGCTTCTCACTGACTTTGCTGTGTGTTTGTCCAGAACCGGCTGGTGGCTGAAGCCGGGCCAGGACCCAGATCTCCGGACTCCATGGTGAACCAGTTCCGACTGGATGAAGAGGAGCAGCCAGACGCCATGGACAGAGACATCTTCATCACCGTGGACAACCCAGAGAGCCAGATCACCACCATCGAGACCTTCATCACGTACCGAGTGGTCACCAAGGTGAGCCCAGGTCCACGCTGGCTCTGGTTCCGGTTCTGGATCCAGTCCATGTGCATCTCTGCTGCTGTCTTTATGGGGCTTTGACCTTCTTTCATGCAGAGGCTGCTGCTGAAGCTGGGAGCTAATCTTTGGTCCAAAGATTTTTTTATCCAGTTGTAGAAAATGATGGTTGCTCCACAGATTGGTCTGTTCTCAGCATCTAACCAGCGCTCCCATGGTTCATAGTCACCTGCCGACACCAGAATGTAGAGCTGTGTGTCGTCTGCATAGTGACTCTAGCTGATCTGGTTAGAATCTGAGCCAAGGGGAAATGGAGATGTGGGATAGGAGGGGCCCCAGAATGAAGCCTGGAGGAACCCCACATATTTTCCTCGTCCTCGCATTGTCAGCTCCAGGCTACCTCATTTTGGCTAGCATTCTACGCTCCAGGCTACCTCATTTTGGCTAGCATTCTACGCTCCAGGCTACCTCATTTTGGCTAGCATTCTACGCTCCAGGCTACCTCATTTTGGGTAGCATTGTTAGCTCCAGGCTACCTGATTTTGGATAGTATTGTAAGCTCCAGTTTACCTCATTTTGGCTAGCATTGTTAGCTCCAGGCTACCTCATTTTGGATAGCATTGTTAGCTCCAGGCTACCTCATTTTGGATAGCATTGTTAGCTCCAGGCTACCTTGTTTTTGCTAGCATCGTTAGCTCCAGGCTACCTGATTTTGGATAGCATTGTTAGCTCCAGGCTACGTGCTCTGGGCTAGCTTTGTTAGTCCCATGTTACCTGGTTTTTGGATAGCATTGTTAGCTCCAGGCTACCTGATTTTGGATAGCATTGTTAGCTGCAGGCTACCTTGTTTTTGCTAGCATTGTTAGCTCCTGGCTACCTTACTTGGGTAAGCATCGTTAGCTCCAGGCTACCTGATTTTGGATAGCATTGTTAGCTCCAGGCTACCTCATTTTGGATAGCATTGTTAGCTCCAGGGTACCTTGTTTTTGCTAGCATTGTTAGCTCCTCGCTACCTTATTTGGGTAAGCATCATTAGCTCCAGGCTACCTGATTTTGGATAGCATGGTTAGCTCCAGGCTACCTCATTTTGGATAGCATTGTTAGCTCCAGGCTACCTCATTTTGGATAGCATTGTTAGCTCGAGGCTACCTGATTTTTGGATAGCATTGTTAGCTTCAGGCTACCTGATTTAGGATAGCATTGTTAGCTCCAGGCTACCTGATTTTTGGATAGCATTGTTAGCTCCAGGCTACCTCATTTTGGATAGCATTGTTAGCTCCTGGCTACCTTACTTGGGTAAGCATCGTTAGCTCCAGGCTACCTGATTTTGGATAGCATTGTTAGCTCGAGGCTACCTGATTTTTGGATAGCATTGTTAGCTTCAGGCTACCTGATTTTGGATAGCATTGTTAGCTCCAGGCTACCTGATTTTTGGATAGCATTGTTAGCTTCAGGCTACCTGATTTTGGATAGCATTGTTAGCTTCAGGCTACCTGATTTTGGATAGCATTGTTAGCTCCAGGCTACCTGATTTTGGATAGCATTGTTAGCTTCAAGCTACCTGATTTTGGATAGCATTGTTAGCTCGAAGCTACCTGATTTTTGGATAGCATTGTTAGCTCCAGGCTACCTGATTTTGGATAGCATTGTTAGCTTCAGGCTACCTGATTTTGGATAGCATTGTTAGCTCGAAGCTACCTGATTTTTGGATAGCATTGTTAGCTCCAGGCTACCTGATTTTGGATAGCATTGTTAGCTCCAGGCTACCTGATTTTGGATAGCATTGTTAGCTGCAGGTTACCTTGTTTTTGCTAGCATTGTTAGCTCCAGGCTACCTGATCTATGCTAGCTTTGTTAGCCCAAATCAGCCCCATTAAGGGATCAGGGGGCCTCTGGCTCTGTGAGGGACCGGGTCACCTCACCTGAAAGCTGCCTCACAGACCTTTCACCTGCAGCCAATGGGTCCAATCGGCCCAGAACCAGAAGCTGAAGTTCTGTCTCGTTCTGTTCTACAGACCACACGCAGCGAGTTCGACTCCAGCGAGTATGAGGTACGCCGGCGGTACCAGGACTTTGTGTGGCTCAGGAGCAGATTGGAGGAGAGTCACCCGACCCTCATCGTTCACGTAGGTATCAACATTCTGGTTCTGACCCGGTCCGGTCTGAGTATGAGCTAAGGTTAAACCACAGGCAGCTGTCGGTTCCTGACCCTCATCGTCGTTCTGATGCGGTCCAATAGAACCCCAGGATGGTTCTGGTGTTTCATTTTAGCTCTGAGGTTCTGGTCCGACCCATTATGTGGTCAGTCAAACCCACTACCAACAGCTTTGGTAGTTTGGGTCAGAACCACGTTCTGCTGGAATAGACCAGAATCTCCATTGGGGGGGTTCTGAAAGGTTCTGGTGGATTGGATGTGGATTCTGCTTGCAGAATTTGTGGTCCGGTTTCTCCTCAGCCAGATAATGCTGAGGAGAAGCGGGTCAGAACCATGGACGTTCCAAACTAGAAGCAGAGGTGGGCCGGCGGTTCTGGTTCTGAGGATCTTCTCCCTGTTGCAGCCTCTGCCAGAGAAGTTTGTGGTGAAGGGGATGGTGGAGCGCTTCAGTGATGACTTCATCCAGACCAGGAGGAGAGCCCTGCAGCGCTTCCTGGACCGGGTCTCCCTGCACCCGCTGCTGTCCAGCAGCCAGCACCTCAGGGTCTTCCTCACCGAGCAGGTTACCCACACACGCCTCAGGGGATAGAACCTCATTTAATCCCATCTGAATAGATCTAATCTGGACTCATCTGATTTAACCTGATCTGAATTAATCTCAACGGATCTAATCTCAACGGATCTAATCTGATCTGAATTAACCTCAACGGATCAGATCTGAATGGATCTAATCTGAATGGATCTAATCTAATCTGAATGGATCTAATCTGATCTGAATTGATCTAATCTGAATTGATCTGATCTAATCTGAATGGATCTTATCTAATCTGAATTGATCTAATCTGATCTGAATTGATCTAATCTGAATTGATCTGATCTAATCTGAATGGATCTGATCTAATCTGAATTGATCTGATCTAATCTGAATTGATCTAATCTGATCTGAATTGATCTAATCTGATCTGAATTGATCTAATCTGATCTGAATTGATCTAATCTGAATTGATCTAATCTGATCTGAATTGATCTAATCTAAATGGATCTGATCTGAATTGATCTGATCTAATCTGAATGGATCTTATCTAATCTGAATTGATCTAATCTGATCTGAATTGATCTAATCTGAATTGATCTGATCTAATCTGAATGGATCTGATCTAATCTGAATTGATCTGATCTAATCTGAATTGATCTGATCTAATCTGAATTGATCTAATCTGATCTGAATTGATCTAATCTGATCTGAATTGATCTAATCTGATCTGAATTGATCTAATCTGAATTGATCTAATCTGATCTGAATTGATCTAATCTAAATGGATCTGATCTGAATTGATCTAATCTGATCTGAATTGATCTAATCTGATCTGAACTGATCTAATCTGATCTAATCCCTGGGTCTTCTCCTCCAGGAGCTGGCCCCTCACAGGAAACAGGGTCCTGGCTTCCTGAGCAGGATGGGGGAGTCCATGAGGGCCATGGCTAACTCTGTGCGAGGCCTGAGGACCAAGCTGGACGAGTTCAGCGCCATGCAGGATTACGTGGACATGTTCAGCCAGAAGATCTGCTCCGTGGACAAAGTGACCCAGAGGATCATCAAGGAGCAGAGAGGTTGGCCGTCTGTCTGCTTCTAAAAACAGGTGTCAGGGGGAGACAGTGGCTCTCTAAAGTGTTCACCCCCCTGGGAGGAGCACGTTCTAAACTCTGCAGCCCAAACAGACGCTCCATCTGGTAGAACAAGGTTCAGACTGAGCACACTGCTCCTGCTGCTCCTGCTCCTCCTGCTGCTCCTGCTCCTCCTGCTGCTCCTGTGTTCAATGCCAGAGAGCGCCTTGCTCTACTTGCTGTCATCAGCGGCTAGAAAGTAGTTTGAATCTATTTTAAAGGGAGAACATGTTATCCTGATCACAGCAGGGTTTGGCAAGCCATTTAGATATTTATTACTTTTAATGAGTATGTATTCCTGATATCTGGGGGGGGGGGTTGTTGGTCAAACCGCTGTGACTGGCCTGTGGAGGCCTTGGCTGTGGAATCTCTGCAACATCCCCCGTTTCAGCTGATTCCACATCATCATGTCAAGATGAAATATGGACCCTATGGCATATGGCACAGCACGGTATTCCTATCGTTACTGGTCTACTGGTCAGCATTTATATTACTTTGACTATGATGAAATGTTTTTAACATATAATAGATAATAAATATTCAGTCAAGCTGATAAATGCCACAACAGCCACTTAAAATGTGTAAAGATTTCTAACTTTATAACTTAGTTCTTACTAGTATCCTTTAATTATTTATTTATTTTTGTTTCTATTTCCTGCTGCAAAATGTAATTTCCAAAAATCTATAATTATAATAGTTCCTTCTAGGGGTGTGATTTTGATCAAAAAGAATCTTATTTTAGTGATCCATAAATTGAACAACAGAGAGGAGAGTGCTTTGAATAAATGTTAACATGGCCTGCCATAGCGAACTTAATGAACATATACATTAACTCCAGGAGCAAACTTCTTCTTCGCCATCTTCCTCTCCTTTGCAGCTGTAGCGCTGTTTCTGAGTCTTCTCTGAACCTGAACCTAAACCTGAACCTAAACTAGAACCTATCCAGAACCTAACTTAACCTGAACCTAACCCTGAACCCAGAGCAGAGCTACGCTGAAGGTTCCAGACCCCTGATTGATCCAGAGCCTCCCTCTGCTCCGTCTCCTTGCAGAATACATGGACGAGCTGAAGCAGTATAGCCCCACCTACCTGCAGTGGGCGGAGTCAGAGGACGAGCTGGCAGACCCTCTGAAGGGCATCAGCGGCTGCGTGGAGAGGTGCAGCAAGGAGACGGAGGAGCAGATCCAGCATCTGTCAGAGGTCCTGGTTCCTGCCTTGCATGAGTACGTCCTGTGTGCCGATACCCTGAAGGTAGGAACATCTGCCTACAGGAGACCCTCAGCTGGGATCATCCTGACTACATAGAACCGCTGCAGGGCTGTAGTTCAAATCCCTGTTCATTCATTCTACCCATTAAACCATTAGGCCATGACATCATGACAATTTAAAAAGGAATGGATTCTGGGCTGTAATGTTACCGCCATCCACCAGAGGGGGCTGCAGTTCATTCTTAATCTGAGCAGAACCATGAATGGATCCAGATTGTTTTCAGCTGTTAGTGGATCCAGATTATTTTCAGCGGTTAGTGGATCCAGATTCTTTTCAGCGGTAGTGGATCCAGATTATTTTCAGCGGTTAGTGGATCCAGATTGTTTTCAGGGGTTAGTGGATCCAGATTGTTTTCAGCGGTTAGTGGATCCAGATTATTTTCAGCGGTTAGTGGATCCAGATTGTTTTCAGCGGTTAGTGGATCCAGATTATTTTCAGCGGTTAGTGGATCCAGATTGTTTTCAGCGGTTAGTGGATCCAGATTCTTTTCAGCGGTAGTGGATCCAGATTATTTTCAGCGGTTAGTGGATCCAGATTCTTTTCAGCGGTAGTGGATCCAGATTATTTTCAGCGGTTAGTGGATCCAGATTGTTTTCAGCGGTTAGTGGATCCAGATTGTTTTCAGCGGTTAGTGGATCCAGATTATTTTCAGCGGTTAGTGAAGGTTAGTGGATCCAGATTGTTTTCAGCTGTTAGTGGATCCAGATTGTTTTCAGCGGTTAGTGGATCCAGATTGTTTTCAGCGGTTAGTGGATCCAGATTATTTTCAGCGGTTAGTGGATCCAGATTGTTTTCAGCTGTTAGTGGATCCAGATTATTTTCAGCGGTTAATGGATCCAGATTATTTTCAGCGGTTAGTGGATACAGATTGTTTTCAGCGGTTAGTGGATCCAGATTATTTTCAGCGGTTAGTGGATCCAGATTATTTTCAGCGGTTAGTGGATCCAGATTGTTTTCAGCGGTTAGTGGATCCAGATTGTTTTCAGCGGTTAGTGGATCCAGATTGTTTTCAGCGGTTAGTGGATCCAGATTGTTTTCAGCGGTTAGTGGATCCAGATTGTTTTCAGCGGTTAGTGGATCCAGATTATTTTCAGCGGTTAGTGGATCCAGATTGTTTTCAGCGGTTAGTGGATCCAGATTATTTTCAGCGGTTAGTGGATCCAGATTGTTTTCAGCGGTTAGTGGATCCAGATTGTTTTCAGCGGTAGTGGATCCAGATTATTTTCAGCGGTTAGTGGATCCTGATTCTTTTCAGCGGTAGTGGATCCAGATTATTTTCAGCGGTTAGTGGATCCAGATTGTTTTCAGCGGTTAGTGGATCCAGATTGTTTTCAGCGGTTAGTGGATCCAGATTGTTTTCAGCGGTTAGTGGATCCAGATTGTTTTCAGCGGTTAGTGGATCCAGATTGTTTTCAGCGGTTAGTGGATCCAGATTGTTTTCAGCGGTTAGTGGATCCAGATTCTTTTCAGCGGTTAGTGGATCCAGATTCTTTTCAGCGGTTAGTGGATCCAGATTCTTTTCAGCGGTTAGTGGATCCAGATTCTTTTCAGCGGTTAGTGGATCCAGATTGTTTTCAGCGGTTAGTGGATCCAGATTCTTTTCAGCGGTAGTGGATCCAGATTATTTTCAGCGGTTAGTGGATCCTGATTCTTTTCAGCGGTAGTGGATCCAGATTATTTTCAGCGGTTAGTGGATCCAGATTGTTTTCAGCGGTTAGTGGATCCAGATTGTTTTCAGCGGTTAGTGGATCCAGATTGTTTTCAGCGGTTAGTGGATCCAGATTGTTTTCAGCGGTTAGTGGATCCAGATTGTTTTCAGCGGTTAGTGGATCCAGATTGTTTTCAGCGGTTAGTGGATCCAGATTGTTTTCAGCGGTTAGTGGATCCAGATTGTTTTCAGCGGTTAGTGGATCCAGATTATTTTCAGCGGTTAGTGGATCCAGATTCTTTTCAGCGGTAGTGGATCCAGATTATTTTCAGCGGTTAGTGGATCCAGATTATTTTCAGCGGTTAGTGGATCCAGATTGTTTTCAGCGGTTAGTGGATCCAGATTGTTTTCAGCGGTTAGTGGATCCAGATTGTTTTCAGCGGTTAGTGGATCCAGATTGTTTTCAGCGGTTAGTGGATCCAGATTGTTTTCAGCGGTTAGTGGATCCAGATTGTTTTCAGCGGTTAGTGGATCCAGATTATTTTCAGCGGTTAGTGGATCCAGATTGTTTTCAGCGGTTAGTGGATCCAGATTGTTTTCAGCGGTTAGTGGATCCAGATTGTTTTCAGCGGTTAGTGGATCCAGATTGTTTTCAGCGGTTAGTGGATCCAGATTGTTTTCAGCGGTTAGTGGATCCAGATTGTTTTCAGCGGTTAGTGGATCCAGATTGTTTTCAGCGGTTAGTGGATCCAAATTGTTTTCAGCGGTTAGTGGATCCAAATTGTTTTTAGCGGTTAGTGGATCCAGATTGTTTTCAGCGGTTAGTGGATCCAGATTGTTTTCAGCGGTTAGTGGATCCAGATTGTTTTCAGCGGTTAGTGGATCCAGATTCTTTTCAGCGGTTAGTGGATCCAGATTCTTTTCAGCGGTTAGTGGATCCAGATTCTTTTCAGCGGTTAGTGCAGCCATGCAGACGGGCCGACGTTAGCCCCGGCCGCCGCAGACGGGCCGACGTTAGCCCCGGCCGCCGCAGACGTGCCGACGTTAGCCCCGGCCGCCGCAGACGTGCCGACGTTAGCCCCGGCCGCCGCAGACGGGCCGACGTTAGCCCCGGCCGCCGCAGACGGGCCGACGTTAGCCCCGGCCGCCGCAGACGGGCCGACGTTAGCCCCGGCCGCCGCAGACGGGCCGACGTTAGCCCCGGCCGCCGCAGACGGGCCGACGTTAGCCCCGGCCGCCGCAGACGGGCCGACGTTAGCCCTGGCTGCTGACGTCTTTCTATTGATGGGTTTCTAACAGCATTCAGGGTGAGCTTTCAGAGGTTGTCCAGCAGATGGCAGTTGACTGTTCTCTTTGTTCCAGGCTGTGATGAGGCGCAGAGACAACATCCAGGCTGAGTTGGAGGCGAAGAATGAGGCGCTGGCGTCCAGGAGAACGGAGCAGGAAGTAGTGAGTGTGATTTCCTGTCCCCTCAGCGCCGCCGATCCACGCTCAGAGGCTGTAGAGCTGAAGACGGCGGCGAGCAGCTGCTGTTTGTGTGAGAAGCAGAGGCTGAGCAGAGATTTCCTCTCCCAGCAGCAAACAATACGCCCCCCCCCCCACACACACACACAGCGCCGCTCTAATACCCATAAGTCCCGTGGAGCCTGAAGCTGATCCACTGTAATAAGCAGTGAAATGTCACATGGTTATTGTTCCCTGGAGGCTCTCTGGGTGGAACGAGATGAACTTCAGGTAAACTTCTATAGATCCATGGTGACTCAGTCTAAGACAATCACCACACGTCACAAGTCCTGCTGAGACTGACTCTGAGGCAGAGAACAGGTCCTGCTAAGACTGACTCTGAGGCAGAGAACAGGTCCTGCCGAGACTGACTCTGAGGCAGAGAACAGGTCCCGCTGAGACTGGCTCTGTGGCAGAGAACAGGTCCCGCTGAGACTGACTCTGAGGCAGAGAACAGGTCCCGTTGAGACTGGCTCTGAGGCAGAGAACAGGTCCCGCTGAGACTGGCTCTGAGGCAGAGAACAGGTCCTGCTGAGACTGACTCTGAGGCAGAGAACAGGTCCCGCTGAGACTGACTCTGAGGCAGAGAACAGGTCCTGCTAAGACTGACTCTGAGGCAGAGAACAGGTCCTGCCGAGACTGACTCTGAGGCAGAGAACAGGTCCTGCCGAGACTGACTCTGAGGCAGAGAACAGGTCCTGCTAAGACTGACTCTGAGGCAGAGAACAGGTCCTGCTAAGACTGACTCTGAGGCAGAGAACAGGCCCCGCTGAGACTGACTCTGAGGCAGAGAACAGGTCCCGCTGAGACTGGCTCTGTGGCAGAGAACAGGTCCCGCTGAGACTGGCTCTGAGGCAGAGAACAGGTCCCGCTGAGACTGGCTCTGAGGCAGAGAACAGGTCCCGCTGAGACTGGCTCTGAGGCAGAGAACAGGTCCTGCCGAGACGGGCTCTGAGGCAGAGAACAGGTCCTGCCGAGACGGGCTCTGAGGCAGAGAACAGGTCCTGCAGAGACTGGCTCTGAGGCAGAGAACAGGTCCTGCAGAGACTGGCTCTGAGGCAGAGAACAGGTCCCGCTGAGACTGACTCTGAGGCAGAGAACAGGTCCCGCCGAGACTGACTCTGAGGCAGAGAACAGGTCCTGCCGAGACTGGCTCTGAGGCAGAGAACAGGTCCTGCCGAGACTGGCTCTGAGGCAGAGAACAGGTCCTGCTGAGACTGGCTCTGAGGCAGAGAACAGGTCCTGCTAAGACTGGCTCTGAGGCAGAGAACAGGTCCCGCTGAGACTGGCTCTGAGGCAGAGAACAGGTCCTGCAGAGACTGGCTCTGAGGCAGAGAACAGGTCCTGCAGAGACTGGCTCTGAGGCAGAGAACAGGTCCCGCTGAGACTGACTCTGAGGCAGAGAACAGGTCCCGCTGAGACTGACTGAGGCAGAGAACAGGTCCTGCCGAGACTGGCTCTGAGGCAGAGAACAGGTCCCCCCGAGACTGGCTCTGAGGCAGAGAACAGGTCCCGCCGAGACTGGCTCTGAGGCAGAGAACAGGTCCTGCCGAGACTGACTCTGAGGCAGAGAACAGGTCCTGCCGAGACTGGCTCTGAGGCAGAGAACAGGTCCTGCCGAGACTGGCTCTGAGGCAGAGAACAGGTCCTGCCGAGACTGGCTCTGAGGCAGAGAACAGGTCCTGCCGAGACTGGCTCTGAGGCAGAGAACAGGTCCTGCCGAGACTGGCTCTGAGGCAGAGAACAGGTCCTGCCGAGACTGGCTCTGAGGCAGAGAACAGGTCCCGCCGAGACTGGCTCTGAGGCAGAGAACAGGTCCTGCTAAGACTGGCTCTGAGGCAGAGAACAGGTCCTGCTGAGACTGGCTCTGAGGCAGAGAACAGGTCCTGCTGAGACTGGCTCTGAGGCAGAGAACAGGTCCTGCTGAGACTGACTCTGAGGCAGAGAACAGGTCCTGCTGAGACTGACTCTGAGGCAGAGAACAGGTCCCGCTAAGACTGGCTCTGAGGCAGAGAACAGGTCCCGCTGAGACTGGCTCTGAGGCAGAGAACAGGTCCCGCTAAGACTGGCTCTGAGGCAGAGAACAGGTCCTGCTAAGACTGGCTCTGAGGCAGAGAACAGGTCCTGCTAAGACTGGCTCTGAGGCAGAGAACAGGTCCTGCTAAGACTGGCTCTGAGGCAGACAACAGGTCCCGCTGAGACTGACTCTGAGGCAGAGAACAGGTCCTGTTGATCCACCTGAAGACAGAATGACTGGATCAGTTATAGAAGGAAGCAGCTGATGTTTCTCTCCAGGATGGAGTCACAGCCAAACAGGAACAGACCAGATGAAGCTACTATGAGAAAAAGCAGAGAGAGCAGAACGTTAGAGATTGAACTAACAGATTCTGCAGAGTGGGAGAATAGAGATAGAATGAAGCAGAATGATGAAAAAGGGATCCCTATGTCCTCCAGCAGTCTAAGCCTATAGCAGCAGAACTATAGAGATGCAGGATGGAAGGATCGGTTAGCTCTCCATGGTCCTGCTGCTCATTGACGGCTCTGTTGTCCTGCAGCTCCAGGAGGAGGTGGATGAGCTGGCAGACCGGGTGGAGCAGGCCAACAACGCACTGCGTGGAGACTGGTCCCGCTGGAGGAGCACCATGAGGGCTGACCTCAGGGAAGCTCTCACCTCCTCTGCTGCCAAGAACGTGGATTACTATGAGAAGGTAAGGAGCAGAACGCAGAGCTAGCTCAGGCTAATTAGCATGGAGGTCAGTCTGTATGGACCACTGATGGGAGGGGGGGGGTGGGAAGGTGGTCAGGAAGCTCCACCTGCCTGACCTGGTGGTGCTCCATCCCCAGCTGCTTCAGCCTCATGGGGCCCAGGGCACAGCTGTCCTGTAGTCTGAGCAGAGGGGTGATGACAGCACCATGGAAACCAGAGCAGAGCTGCAGAGAGTTTGATCCACCAGCAGGGGGCAGCAGCGCCTCACTGGAGCTGCATGTTATTAGAGGCTCCTGTTCATGAGGAGCAGCACCATGTTCATCCTGGGAGGGAGCGAGGGAGGAGGGAGGGAGGAAGGAAGGAAGGAGGAAGGAAGGGAGGGAGGGAGGAAGGGAGGAAGGAGGCAGGGAGGAAGGAGACAGGGAGGAAGGAAGGAGGAGGCGGGATGGATGGAGGGAGGGAGGAGGGAAGGGAGGAAGGAAGGGAGGAGGGAGGGAGGGAGGGAGGGAGGAAGCAAGGGTAAAGGAGGGAGGAAACCGAGGGAGGGAGGGAGCAAGGGAGGAGGCAAGGGAGGAAGCAAGGGAGTGAGGGAGGAAACAGGCAGGGAGGAAGTGAGGGAGGGAGGGAAGAGGGAGGGAGGGAAGAGGGAGGAAGCAAGGGAGTGAGGGAGGAGGGAGGAAACAGGCAGGGAGGAAGCAAGGGGGGAGGGAGGAAGCAAGGGAGTGAGGAAACAGGCAGGGAGGAGGGAGGAAGAAAGGGAGTGAGGGAGGAAGCAAGGGAGGGAGGGAGGGAGGGAGGAAGCAAGGGTAAAGGAGGGAGAAACCGAGGGAGTGAGGGAGGAAGCAAGGGAGTGAGGGAGGAAACAGGCAGGGAGGAGGGGGGAAGCAAGGGAGTGAGGGAGGAAACGGGCAGGGAGGAAGCAAGGGAGTGAGAAAACAGGCAGAGAGGAGGGAGGAAGCAAGGGAGTGAGGGAGGAAACAGACAGGGAGGAGGGAGGAAGCAAGGGAGTGAGGGAGGAAGCAAGGGAGTGAGGGAGGAAGCAAGGGAGTGAGGGAGGAAACATGCAGGGAGGAGGGAGGAAACAGGCAGGGAGGAGGGAGGAAGCAAGGGAGTGAGGGAGGAAGCAAGGGAGTGAGGGAGGAAACATGCAGGGAGGAAGCAAGGGAGTGAGGGAGGAAACGTGCAGGGAGGAGGGAGGAAACAGGCAGGGAGGAGGGAGGAAACAGGCAGGGAGGAAGCAAGGGAGGCAGGGAGGAAGGAAGGGAGGCAGGGAGGAAGCAAGGGAGTGAGGGAGGAAACATGCAGGGAGGAGGGAGGAAACAGGCAGGGAGGAAGCAAGGGAGGCAGGGAGGAAGGAAGGGAGGCAGGGAGGAAGGAAAGGAGTGAGGGAGGGAGGAAGAAAGGGAGACAGGAGGGAGGGAGGTTCTGGTTCTGACCCGGACCGAGGCGGTTCTAGTTCTGACCCGGACCGTGGCGGTTCTGGTTCTGACCCGGACCGAGGCGGTTCTGGTTCTGACCCGGACCGTGGCGGTTCTGGTTCTGACCCGGTCCGAGGCGGTTCTGGTTCTGACCCGGACCGTGGCGGTTCTGGTTCTGACCCGGTCCGTGGCGGTTCTGGTTCTGACCCGGTCCGAGGCGGTTCTGGTTCTGACCCGGACCGTGGCGGTTCTGGTTCTGACCCGGTCCGTGGCGGTTCTGGTTCTGACCCGGACCGTGGCGGTTCTGGTTCTGACCCGGTCCGAGGCGGTTCTGGTTCTGACCCGGACCGTGGCGGTTCTGGTTCTGACCCGGTCCGTGGCGGTTCTGGTTCTGACCCGGTCCGAGGCGGTTCTGGTTCTGACCCGGACCGTGGCGGTTCTGGTTCTGACCCGGTCCGAGGCGGTTCTGGTTCTGACCCGGACCGTGGCGGTTCTGGTTCTGACCCGGTCCGAGGCGGTTCTGGTTCTGACCCGGACCGTGACGGTTCTGGTTCTGACCCGGTCCGTGGCGGTTCTGGTTCTGACCCGGTCCGAGGCGGTTCTGGTTCTGACCCGGACCGTGACGGTTCTGGTTCTGACCCGGTCCGTGGCGGTTCTGGTTCTGACCCGGTCCGAGGCGGTTCTGGTTCTGACCCGGACCGTGACGGTTCTGGTTCTGACCCGGTCCGTGGCGGTTCTGGTTCTGACCCGGTCCGTGGCGGTTCTGGTTCTGACCCGGACCGTGACGGTTCTGGTTCTGACCCGGTCCGAGGCGGTTCTGGTTCTGACCCGGTCCGAGGCGGTTCTGGTTCTGACCCGGACCGTGACGGTTCTGGTTCTGACCCGGTCCGTGGCGGTTCTGGTTCTGACCCGGTCCGTGGCGGTTCTGGTTCTGACCCGGTCCGAGGCGGTTCTGGTTCTGACCCGGACCGTGACGGTTCTGGTTCTGACCCGGACCGTGACGGTTCTGGTTCTGACCCGGTCCGTGACGGTTCTGGTTCTGACCCGGTCCGTGGCGGTTCCTGCTTCTAATGGGATCTTGTGTCTTTCAGTGTCTGGCTGTGTGGGAGTCGTTCCTCCTCTCCCAGAGAGGAGGCGCTGTGGAGCAGAGGAATGGAGAACACGCCTCCTAAAGCGCCTCCTGACCAACAGAGACCGTCTGAAGAGCTGGACTGGATGGAGCAGAACCGGTCCAGAACCCAAGGTTCTGTTAGCTTAAAGCGGGTCAGAACCTGATGCCATATTGATTAACACTACAGGGACCTGATCTCCCTCTGCCCCCTGGGATCCTCTGCCTCCTGCTAACTGTAATAATGATGATGCAATAATAAAGATGGAAACTGGTCTGACTGTCTGGTCCTCACTGGGGGGGGGGGGGGGTCTGGTTTCCCCAGATGGTAATAGAAGGAACAGATGAAGACCAGATCCCTAACAGGAAATAATCCCACTGCAGGATTATTTCTAGATTAATCTAAACACCTGAGTAATCTCAGTTTGCTTTATAGCAGCCCTGTTTAACCTTTGACCCCAGTATTAACTTAGTATCCTCCAATGATGGCGTCCCGCTGTCTCTGAATGGCTCCTGGGTGGTCCATGGGGACCAGGACACCCAGCAGGACCTTCTCTGACTGACATAGACCTGCTCAGGGACCACTGGGTACCTGGACTTAGTTAGGACCCTGTACAGTGGCCCCTCCAGAAATGTTTCATAGGGGGGCCAGATGGGGCCACTAAAAACCTTCTGGTGGCCCCTGAATCTAAAAGCCATCATTTCAGGGTCTATAGTGGTGAAGCTGCCCAGGAAACACCTGCTCACTTCCATGTTTTATTTAGAGGAGGAAAGCGGGGACGAAGATGTTGTGGAAGAGGACGCCAGGGCGGCAGAAGCTTGGTTTGGTGTAGAAGGCTTCCAGCCGTACATGTTTGAGCCCTTGCCTCGCAACGCTGCCAGTTCTGTTAGCTCTACGCCTGCCGAAGACACAGACGTCCATCCCCGTGAACACTGGGACGCAACTCAATGGGAAAGGGAAGGATTCTGGTTTCAACCGTTGCGTATATTAGCTGCGACATATGAATCAAGATGCTATGACCGAAAACATTTGATTGACAGATGACCGCTGATATATGATTGGCTGAATTTAGGTGTTCAGGCTGATGTAGAACTAACTGGCCTGCAGAAGATAACGAGAAAAAAACAGATTTTATGACAGGATTTTTATAAAAATAGAAATTTTCAATAAATATAAAGAATATAGTCTGATAAAGAGTTCTTTATGTTCATGTTTAAGCCAGAATGATTTGTTATTTAAATATGTTTAACTAGTTTAAGGTTGGTTTTTCTCTCTTAACATAGATGGCTTCCTTCCTCTCAAACCACCTGTCTTCTTTGTCCCAAATATGAACATTATGGTCCTCCAAAGAATGTAATTTCTCGTCCAGTGGAGGGCGCTCTTCTGTGTTGGGCCATGCCTCTGTGGAGAGGTTGTTTGGTTTCTCCAATATAAAGATCAGAGCATTCCTCACTGCATTGACCTGCAGACACCACTCTGCTCAGACTGGGTCATACTTTTATTTTAGCCTCCGATGGACGTTCCTGCCCTCATCTATGGTCCTGACCAGTAGAACAAGATCCTGGAAGCGAGCCACCAGCATGGGTTTCCTCTGCAGGGCGTCCTGAGCGTCTCCTCTATGTGGAGAGCTGCTGCTTCTCCCCATAGAGAGGAGCCTATAGAGGCTCTGGTCAGAGTCTCCTGGATGCCAAACCACCAATCCAAAACACGAACCAGGGGGAAATGTTTTTATTACGCTTTAGGCTCGTTTTAGGAGCCTACAAGAAAACAGAATCAGATCTGAACAGTTTTAGAATAATAATTATATATTGTTTTGTAAAAATGCCTTAAATGAGCTGGAAAGGAGGAGTTAATGCCTTAATGAAAGTTTATTGTTTGCTCACAGGTCTTCAGTTTGGTGTTCCCTGTTGAAAAGGGGGGGGGGGGGGGGGGGGGGTCAATACCAGGCAGTAGCCTAGGGACCCAGGTTCCTGGGGGCCCCATAAAACTCTGTTTCCATGTGTGGTTAATACAACTATTCCTTATTTGTGCACATTAATTATAAAAATGCTTTGGCTAACATGCCATCAGAACGCTGATAATATTAGTGTGTCTCAGCCCCCCCCTTCAGTGTCCACCATATTGGATCAGTCCATTTGCTGCACATGTTCAGAAAGGTCCAAACAGACAGCAGCAAACCATTTGAAAACAAACCATGCAAAGAGCAGTGCTGCCAACTTAGCGCTTTAGTCGCTATATTTAGCCACTTTTCAGACCCCTCTAGCACTTTGATTTCTAAAACGCTCCTAGCGCCAAATCTAGAGACTTTTTTCTGCTACTGGAGACTTTGGAGACAACATCTAAAAGCAGCGAACTCTGCTCTCCAGAGCGAGTAGATTGGTAACCCCGCCTCCTGCTCTCCTCTATCTTGTCTGCTGTCATGATTCATGCAGCTATTATTTCATCCAAATGAAAAATGGAGAACAGATAAGCAGATCACGGCTTGTCTACAGTGAAAAGAAGGACTGGGTTATTTACTTTGGCCTTTTTGGAAACACAGGAAGGAGCAATCAGCTAAGTGAGCTTAGTGCTTGGGAAAAATCTTTCATTCCTTTAGAGACAGCATGAAAAGTCAGCTGAGTACAAAACATAGAGAGGAAAACAAGAAGAAAAGGGACAAGAAGAGAGGGACACAACCTAGAACAGATAATGGATGTCTATTCTATTAACATTTCTCTATCTGGAGAATGGGGCTGTTTTATGTCTTCTCCATTCAGAGGGCCCCTGCCTGTCTTTTTCCAGAGCCCCACATTCTGTATATCGGCCCCTGTGAGTGTGCAGCTGTACACTATAATCAGGCAGCTTCTGCTCAGTTTGCTTTAAGGCTCAGAGGTTTGTGTGCCGGATGGTTTCTAAACATTGAACATAAGGACATGGACTGAAGCCCGAACAGTTCCTGCACCTCCTCTAGTTGCCTGGGTGATCAACATGGCTGCTGCACTGACATCTGGAATTCACTAGAAAGGACCAAACCACTAAAATATAAATGCAAAGATTTATTGTCTGAAGGGATGAAGTGATGATCGAGGAGCGATTCAGCAGAGAAGCCCAGAGAGGAGGGCAGTAGACGTTCAGCTAGAATGACCCAATCATCTAGTCCTCCTAAATGTCACGCTTAGAGGAGGAGTCCTCCTGCATTGTGAGCTCCTGCAGGAGCAGGCTGAGCGCTGCTGATCAGAGCTGAGGTCAGAGGAGGAGAAAGCAGTGATGCTCTGCTAGCCTGGAGGCTCTGCATGGGAAGCAGTCCCACCATGATGTCAGGAATAGAAAGAGCAGAGCGCTGGGATTGGCTGCAAAGGGACATGACTCATTAGAAACGCCATTCTGGGCTCAGAGCTGCAGCGCAGGAAGAGATTCCTGATTTATCTCTGATGGCCGACGGCAAGCCTGGATTATTTCTAGGCTTTAATGCATCAGAATATAACTGATGCTTGTTTATACTGTTTGACCTCCTTAAAGCTCCATCATCCCCCATGGAAACGGATCAGGATCCAGGTTCTGGTTTCAGGACCAGCCAAGGACCCATGAAAGACCAGCCAAGGGCCCATGAAAGACCAGCCAAAGACCAGCCAAGGGCCCATGAAAGACCAGCCAAGGACCAGCCAAGGACCCATGAAAGACCAGCCAAAGACCAGCCAAGGGCCCATGAAAGACCAGCCAAGGACCCATGAAAGACCAGCCAAAGACCAGCCAAGGGCCCATGAAAGACCAGCCAAGGACCCATGAAAGACCAGCCAAAGACCAGCCAAGGGCCCATGAAAGACCAGCCAAGGACCCATGAAAGACCAGCCAAAGACCAGCCAAGGGCCCATGAAAGACCAGCCAAGGACCCATGAAAGACCAGCCAAGGGCCCATGAAAGACCAGCCAAAGACCAGCCAAGGGCCCATGAAAGACCAGCCAAGGACCAGCCAATAGCACACAAAGGACCAGCCAGGGGCCCATGAAGGACAAGCCAAGGACCAGCCAAGAGCCCATGAAAGACCAGCCAAGGACCAGCCAAGAGCCCATGAAGGACCAGCCAAGGGCCCACGAAGGACCAGCCAAGGGCCCATGAAGGACCAGCCAAGGGCCCACGAAGGACCAGCCAAGGGCCCATCAAGGACCAGCCAAGGGCCCATCAAGGACCAGCCAAGGGTCCATCAAGGACTACCCAAGAGCCCATGAAGGCCAAGCCAAGGACCAGCCAATAACACACAAAGGACTAGCCAAGGGCCCATGAAGGACCAGCCAAGGTTCAGCCAATAGAACACAAAGGACCATCCAATAGCATACAAAGGACCAGCCAAGGGCCCACGAAGGACAAGCCAAGGGCCCAGCAAGGACCAGCCAAGGGCCCACCTAGGACCAGCCAAGGCTCCATCAAGGACTACCCAAGAGCCCCCGAAGAACCAGCCAAGGACCCATCAAGGACTACCCAAGAGCCCATGAAGGACCAGCCAAGGGCCACCAAGGACCGGCCAAGGGCCCACCAAGGACCAGCCAAGGGCCCACGAAGGACAAGCCAAGGGCCCACCAAGGACCAGCCAAGGGTCCATCAAGGACTACCCAAGGGCCCCCGAAGGACCAGCCAAGGACCCATAAAGGAGTACCCAAGAGCCCATGAAGGACCAGCCAAGGGTCCATCAAGGACTACCCAAGGGCCCCCGAAGGACCAGCCAAGGGTCCATCAAGGACTACCCAAGAGCCCCCGAAGGACCAACCAAAGGCCCACGAAGGACCAGCCAAGGGTCCATCAAGGACTACCCAAGGGCCCCCGAAGGACCAGCCAAGGGTCCATCAAGGACCAGCCAAGGGCCCCCGAAGGACCAGCCAAGGACCCATCAAGGACTAACCAAGAGCCCATGAAGGACCAGCCAAGGGCCCACCAAGGACCGGCCAAGGGCCCACCAAGGACCAGCCAAAGGCCCACGAAGGACAAGCCAAGGGCCCAGCAAGGACCAGCCAAGGGCCCACCAAGGACCAGCCAAGGGTCCATCAAGGACTACCCAAGAGCTCCCGAAGAACCAGCCAAGGACCCATCAAGGACTACCCAAGAGCCCATGAAGGACCAGCCAAGGGCCACCAAGGACCGGCCAAGGGCCCACCAAGGACCAGCCAAGGGCCCACGAAGGACAAGCCAAGGGCCCACCAAGGACCAGCCAAGGGTCCATCAAGGACTACCCAAGGGCCCCCGAAGGACCAGCCAAGGACCCATAAAGGAGTACCCAAGAGCCCATGAAGGACCAGCCAAGGGCCACCA